CGCCTTCAGAATGACGTTTTTCCACTTCATGAACTGTGTGACCCTGGCATACGCTCCGTACTTCATCGCCTACAAGTATTCAGGTGAGAACGAATCAATTCTCAATTTTTCTACTACAATCACTTTTGCAACACTATTTTTTTTTTTTTTTCTTTTTTTTTTTTTTTTTTTTTTTTTTTCATACTTAGGTATTGCTCATAAAATCCAGTGAAAGGTTAGTAGCTAAGCCGTTTGGGCTTACTGAACGATTGGAATCCAGATGGCGATGCTTTGACAAACCACATCCTCACCTTTAACGTGTCACTATTAATTCCAAATATCAGCCCCGGATGAAAGAAAAGTGTCGGTGCCGCAACAGTCGACGAATTGAGGATCAGTTCTGAAAATTCTTCTCTGATGAACTAATCTTGTATAGTAATGAAAGGAAAAGTTCGCTCAGGAGCCCTTACAAAAATGATAACCGGATGTTGCACAACTTAGTTCCGAAAAAATCCTGGGCACAAGGGCACCTGACCAGTTAGCCAGGGCATCACCACGATCAACCAAAAAAAAGCGAACGAACTAATGGTTTTGAAGAATCCATCGAAAAACCAACTACACCTTCACCCACCTCCTAAACGGTATGCCGAGGGCATACGTTCTGAATATTTAGGGAACAATTTCGCTCTAGCAAAACCACCAGCTCTTCTCGTTTCCCGTGATTTGCCCTTGTTAGCCCACAAAGATAACGCGTTTGTAGCGTGTCGGCCAATGTCTGGAAAACAGAACACAAAGAATTCCATCAGAGTATTGCTTTGCCTGGGATATGGGTCCGTCTTGACATGTACAGGGGGGGGGCAAAAAAAAGTCATTTTGCCTCCATGATTTCAAGGCGCTATAAGTTACACTTTATTAAATTTTTATCGGACATTTTTACTACCATATTAAAGAGCACATTAAATACTATAATGATACTCCGCCACAGCCTTCTGGAGGAGCGCCATCGAGAGATTCGGCCGCGCGAAAGTGAGTGGGTACCGGAGTTGAGCGAGATCGTTGATTTCTCCGCCACTGTAGACCACCCTGTTGAGCTCCGCCCGAACTAGGTAATTGAGTGGGTTCACAGGTCAGGGGACATATTTCAATATTACATCTTCATCAGGTACGAAACGCCCTTCCATTCGAAGTAGGCGGGAGTTTTTCCAAAACCCTTCGATTCCATGTGGTGGCACCCAAACCTGTAGCAGCACAAGGTCTCCAAGAAGGTACGGGCGACCACATGTAGGGAGGATATCCTTCTCGAGTTACTTGATGTAACCGCCAGCGCTCACCTTCAGTCGGGGTCTACAAAGAAAATATCGGTCTTCCCATTCCAGGTACGGCCGGTCCACACCATCAACGCGCCTTGGTGAATGGGGTGAAGATGATGTCCTGGACCGTAGCGACGTTGCCGGAGCTGCTCGATGTTTGAGGTCTTGCAGATCAAGAGTACTGGTCTCCAGGTAGCTATCCATGGGTGATTCCATTCAAGAAGTTCCGCAGCTGTTTGGAGGCCACGTGAATTCCAAAGGCGTTCTCCACTCAGGCCGCGACTGTCTGCTGTTTTTTTTTTTTTTTTTTGTCGAGATGGGACTTCATATTCTTGCGTGTAGAAGGTCGACATCGGCGCCAGCCGCGCTTCTGCTTATAGCAGGAAGATCTTGCGGTATCTTCCGCCCTTGGTATAGATCCGCTTCCTCTGTCTGGGCTGCGAAAAAATATCCACCTCCTCTGTCTGGGCTGCGAAAACTTCGCTCATATGTGACTCGGCCGGAATGAATTTTTTTGGCCCCGCCTGTAACTGTAGCGAAGACGCAGTCGCTAGGCTGCTTCCCTGGTAGTGGGGCAACCTGATACAATGGTTTTGTCGTTCAGCAGTCGAAAAACTCATTGTGCACAGGCCTTTCACTGAGTTTTCCTGCGTAATTCTCAAGGAATAGAATCAATAAAAGAGGCGAGCACCACTCCGATGCCATACATGTGCCGCAGAAATGGCGCTCGACGGAAAGTCTTAACTGGTACCCAGTGTCGCTGGTAGCGGGCAGGGAACCGCTCGCGACACACACACACAATAGACGTTCTCCCTTGTCTGTGAAAACACCCTGTATGCGGAGAAGCTCAGATATTTGTAGAAGACTTATCTTCCTTATTCCTTCCTCCACCGTGATTTAAAATTCCAACATCATTTTTGTCAGATATGAGAGGATGATGGGGTAAAAAGATAAGGGCGGAATAAGCGCCATCGTAGAATATAGGCGTTTAAAAAAACAGAAAAAAAAAAAAAAATTTTTTTTTTTTTTTTTTTTTTTTTTAAAATTTTTAAATAAAAAAAAAAAAAAAAAAAAAAAAAAAAAAAAATTTTTAAATAAAAAAAAAAAAAAATTGTTTTTTTTTTTTTTAATAAAAAAAAAAAAAAAAAAAAAAAATTTTAAAAAAAAATTAAGGCGCCAGGTGTGGGAAGGCACGTGCGCATGACTGTTTCTCGTTGACAGCTTTTCGCTCCATTCTGCGAACAGCCTATTACTCTAGGTTGTTCTGATACTTCTATTCTCACCTCCATCCAGTTGTTGAGTTGACTTACCGCAACTATTTTTCCCTGTTTTAGGTCTAAACGAATATAGTTCATTTTGGCGATGTGCTCAAGCGGGTGGTGGTTATTTTCTTACACAACTGATTAAACTGCTACTTTTGGCTACGTTTTTCCCCGCTGGTGATACTGAGGGATTTGCAGTTCTCCCGGTTCGTTTGTCACATTGTGAATTGTGGACGCGGTTTTATTTGCTTGTTTAGGAGCTACTGAAGAGCAGCGCGGACGTTGTTGATGTCATTGGTATGCATCTTGTAATGACACATCTGCTCAATGGAAAGGGAGAGGTCAGTTCAGTCTTGCCTAAAATGTCTAGACAATTAGTTTGATTAGTGGTATAGAGCGAACGTGGAGCGGTTGATCCACACAGAGAATTCTTCTCTGAGCAAAAGGTTCAAGAAAGCTATGAAGCGCACCACAAAAAGGGGAAGCGGTCTTTTTCCTTTCCTCTAGTTCATCGAAATTACTATAAAGGAAGAATTTTTGGCCATCCTCATGATCCTGTGCCATCTAGTCACAAAAGAGGCCTTTTGAATCAAGCATCACCGCCAGGTTTGCTGCATACTCACCGTTTTGAGATTACTGCTTGGTCTGCCGTATATAGTGACAGCCTTCTAGGTTTTGTTTTTCTGCGTTTTGCCAATACTTTGAAGCCTAAGACCGCGTTCAGACTTCGCAATCAGATTGTTCGAGCGATTGGATCGCTCCACTGGATCGCGTGAGCACGACTGCGGGCGCTCCACCGCTATGCACCATTGCAATGGCATTGTTCAAACTGACACTATGTGCACACCTCCCATTTTGAATGTTGCTGTCATCGAGGCGTCGTTTGACGGTGTAGCGGCTCCGGTCGTTTTCGCGCGATCCAGTTGCTCGAGTGATCTGATCGCGAAGTCAGAATGCGGTCCCAAGGGTACGGTATTCTGTGTGCAACTCTGTGTTCTGTGCCGCATACTTTGTTGGTTCCCAGTGATACCCGCGCAGTAAAATGCACGTTTCCATCCCCGAACTTTGTGCTTGTTTCAGTAGTCTTTAGCTGGACTTTAACATTTCATGCACATGTTTAATATATACATGACTCGTTCGCAGCGTGACCTCAACATCGATTATAGACCCGTGGCCCTCCTAGTTGCTCTTTCTCATCAACTCTTGTTTAGGTACGGTTCCTCGTGGGCGGACTTGGGTGGGGTGCTGCACATTCGATGGCGAGCAGCTTCATTTTATTCTGGGTTGGAGCCAGGTCTGTGAAGCTTTCAGTTTTCGTTTATTGCATCATCGCTTTGGAAAGTAAACATTTGAACATAACACTTGAGCTTTTCTAAAAAACGTTATGGGAGTTTTCCGCTTATTTAGGGCCTCGGCTTTCTCGTGGCGATGGATTCAGATGGCACTTGAATCGTCTTCTGATCTCATTCTCTTTGTCGCTATGGCAGCTTTAACATGGATGGCAACTCGTGCAGCGAGCAGACACTTGGTGTTCATGCTTCTGACAGCTTGCGTTTTCCACACATTTGTCAATCAGTGAGTT